TGGAACTGGTTTTTGGGTCAATCTGAAGCGTTTACATAGCATACATGTCTTAGCTTCTGTGTCTTATATTCCTTTCTTGTTTGCTGTGTTCTTTTGTCATAACACAGCTGGCAGCTGTAGTGTTGATCAATGTTTAGTGTATCTTAATTAAAACTAGCTCTGTATTTAACAACGCTGTCACTATTCAACAAAGATGAAAAACTTCCCACAAAAAACAAAGATGAACACAAAAATAAGTTGGCGGTTCCGATCCACTCGTCGGCGTGAACCCAAGAGTATGCTCAAATTATCATCTTGGTTGCATTGAAAAGTCATTTCGTGAGGGGTTTGAATTAATTCATTTCCCCGAAGGCTTTGCTTTGATATTGATCTACACACACTTAGGACTGTGTGGCATCACTGGGCTGCTTCTCATTATCGTAGCCTTGAAAACTCACCCTCCAAAAAAGCGAAGAGAGTTTTGCCACTGGCTTAAAAAAAGAGCCTCGTTCCTCTTTGTCATTCCCTATTGATTCGAGCGACTGTTTCGCTACAGTGACATCAAATGCGAAGGCACCGCAGGAGCCTAATTATCTCTATCGCATAATTTGAGCTCACAGCAACATCTAGATGTTAAAGGACATTTTGGCACCTTAAAATATGAGCACAACAATTTTTTTATCAGAATTAATTGATGTAAACATGAAAAGGGTTATGGTTAAGGGTCAAAAGTTGGGGGTGCTGGTTGATCAATCCAGACTTTTCAGCAGGGAAGTTACATGTCATTTTCTAAGACCGTTCCCCCTAGAGCAACTAGGAATTAAGTGCCTTGCTCTTGTAAAAATGAAAGAGGTTATGGTTAAGGGTCAAAAGTTGGGGGTGCTGGTTGATCAATCCAGACTTTTCAGCAGGGAAGTTACATGTCATTTTCTAAGACCGTTCCCCCTAGAGCAACTAGGAATTAAGTGCCTTGCTCTCAAGGCACTCGGTAACTCTCCAATTCTGGGATTGAATTCACAGTCTTTGTGTCTTCAGGCCAGATTTTTAACTACCAGCCTACTGTTAATGACATTTTACCATGAAACATTTCAATGTAATATACCAACTCAATCTTTGTCCTCTCACACAGACAGTAGAGTTTGACGAAGGTGCGGGAGCCGTCCTAAGAATCCAGCCTCTCCGAGCACCTCGAGACGAGAACATCTACGAATGTGTGGCAGAGAACAGCGAAGGCGAAATCAGTGTCCAGGCTAAGCTGTCAATTATCAGAGGTAAGACTAAAGGTTGACCTTTTTTTTTTTTTTTTGTGAACCAAATGCACCAGTTCACCAAATCAGACTGAACTGTCTGAAACAGTTTGCGTCTCAAGCAGCACAGATATATAAGTTACTCAATCAAAACACTCTGCCTTTAATGTCAGGAGTTTCCAATCCTGCCCCAAGAAGGCCACTGTCCTGTTAAGTTCATCTACCTGGAAGTTTCTACACTACAAAATCTGTCACTGCAATGGTACCCTTTCAACAAGTACACCCTTTTACCTTACTTACCCCTAAAAGGTGCCTTAGCACCTTAAAGGTACATATTTATACCTAAATGGTACCTTTTATAAGGGTACCATTCCAGTAACAACTTTTGTACCTTTTTTCTGAGAGTTTAGTGATCCTGAAGACCTTGAGTAGTTAGTTCAGGTGTGTTTAATTAGGGCTGGCGTTAAACACTTCTGGAAGTTGACCCTCCAGGAGCAGGGTTGGATCTCCCTGCTTTAAGTGTACACCCCCCTCCAGTCCTCGGGACCCACCTCCCAAAATGTTTTAGATATGTCTCTATTCAACACACTAAGAAACTGATGAGTTGAATCAGATGTTTTAATTAGTGAGACATCTAAAACATTCTGGAAGGTGGGTCCCCAAGACTGGAGTTGAGAAACACTGCCCTACAGGACCATCTCGGCAAATGGGGAAACTGACCAGCGTTCTCTGGTTAACTTGAATGTGACACAATCTTACTGTTGCAGAAACTCTAAATCCGTCCTAGCCAATCACGGAACCTCTGTCGTCCTCACCATCGAGTTATCCGGTTGTTCCCCGTGCGCTGAGATCTAGCCATCTGCCTCGTCAATGCCAAGCGCTGGAGCAGGCAGCTTGCAGGCTTCTTCCTGGGCCTGAACCCAAGCCGAGGGTTTTTGTAGGCAGCCCAGTTTTACATGAAAATCCTGGCTTTGGCAAGACCCATGCGGCTCAGGAAGGAACACAGGCGGTAGCACAAGGGGGAAAAAAAACGGCTGCTGCCCCCTTCGCTCTCTCATCCCCATCTGCTGTGGGCTCGCAAGTACATTGAACCTCATCAGTAGAGCAAGCCCCATACACACTCATACAAAGGACGACACATGTGTCTGCACATTCCCAAAAGAGAGCGCCTCTGCTCCTGAACGTCTGCGCGGACATTAATCAAAATCAATTAAACTGTCCACTATTCCAGCTGCTATTTGTGGTCTCCAGCGGGTTCTTCTTTCATTTTGTCCCTGGCCAACTTCTGAAACTGATGACTTCATTAAGTACCCAGTCACCTTGCCGTCTTCAGGGTGTGTCCGCTCGCCTGCGGCAGAGAAAACACGGGAAGGCTTTGCTGTAAATCTGGCGGTGCTCTTTCCAGGGGCTTAGGTTTGTTTTTAGCTGCCTTCTGGCTGCCCACAAGAGCGGTGAGCAGAATGCTTAAGATGTGCCATCTGCTTTTCCACCGTGTCGCAGAGTCCTCTGAGAGTCCTTGGAGGAGTCTCGTAGAAAACCGAGGCAAAGACACCTGCAGCCATCGCTGCTGCTTCTCCTTCGTGTCACTACGGGCGTCGAACCCTCGCTTCCCCTCCTCCGCTTTCTTCTATTGTAGGCTCGCTGTTTTTCTATTCAATCTGACCCTGGCTTTCAGCCCTTCTTGGCAGTCTTGTCCACCAGCGACCCAGAGCTAGCACTTCATAGAATCCAACACCAACAGCAGCCCAGGTTTTGCCATCTGCTCGCTTCCTGCGAGGTGTCAGACGCTCACACGCTTCTTTACACATTCAGTTATGCCTGGCCTTAGCTTGCCCCTGGTCATGCTGTGAGAGCGCTAGGTTCAGAGTGCTGGCCAACAAAAGATCAGAGCGGGAACGCTGGACCGCACAGCCACGGGTAACCATCGTGCAACCCGAAATCCAAAGGTGTCAGACCACCTTCCCGAAACATTAGCTCTTTTCCAAAACCTTCTGTTTTTTTTTGTCAACATCATAGGCTAACTCCAGATGTAAAGGCTTTTGTGAAAGTTGGCTAGTTTTAGCAGCAGCGCAGACTGTATTATGTGGATAAGGCAATCCCAGAATGCACTGCGCTAGGCTCAGTGGAAAAAAAAGTCCATTGCAAACAAGGCCAATAGCTTTCTATTTTAACCAATATTTGCGTCTACGGTCTATTTTTAATCTCATTAGAGTGTTGTGTGTTTAGCATAGCAATATGTTAGCAAAAAACTGTTGTAATATGTTGTGGATCAATATAATTGCTAAAAGTGGTTAGGGTCATACATGCACTCTTTTACCTTCTCTTTATTTGTGCTATGTATTTTTAAACTTATTCAAGTGCTGTGCTGTTAGGTTAGCAACATGTTAGCAAGAAACATTTGTAATATGTTGCGGATCAATACAATTGATAAAAAGTAGTTTGGCTTAGGGTTACAAGTGTACTATTTTCCTTAGTATTTGTGTGTTATGTATTTTTATGCTGCTTAATGCTGTTAGCTTAGCAGCATGTTAGCTGGCAACTAACTAACAACTGTTTTTCTCTTGTGGATTGATAAAATTGATTAAAAGTAGTTAGACTTAGAGTTACAAGTTCACTGTTTTACCTTTTATTTGTGTGTGCTATGTATTTTTAAACTTATTGGCTTACTTTGCTGTTAGCCTAGCAACATGTTAGTGGGAAACATTAGTAACATACTGTGGATTGATAAAATTGTTAAAAAATAGTTAGGCCTAGGGTTACAATGCACTATTTTAACTAATATTTGCTATGTATTTTATTCTTATTAGTGTGCTGTGCTGTTAGCTTAGCAACATTCTAGACAAAAACTCTTGTAATCTGTTGTGGATTGATAAAATGATTACAAATAGTTAGGTTTAAGGCTGTGAGTGCACTATTTAAGCTAATATTTTGTGTGTGCTATGTATTTTGATGCTTATTAGAGTGTTGTGCTTTTAGCTTAGCAGCATGGTGATGAAAAACTTTTGTATTCTGTTAGATGGATAGATTCATTTGATAAAGGTAGTTATGTTTAGGCTTAAAAGTGTGCTAATTTACCTAATAATCACATGTGGTGTGTAGCTATATGCTTATTATGGTGTTGTGCTGTTAGCTTAGCAGCATGCTAATGGGAAACTCATTTGTAGTCAATTGGTAAGTTGGGTCTTTTGTGTGAGGAGCTCCATTTGAGTTGCTGCCTATGAAGAATGTCCTAAATCAGTGCTTAACTCTTTCCCCACCATTGACGAGTTATCTCGTCTTTTACAAGAAAACGGGACTGCTTTAAGCTATAATAAAACTGATTTTTTTTTTGTTTAAAAGTAGAGGCTCTGATCTTTATTTTGGCGTATTGCATATTCAAATATTCATACAGCAAAATATACTGGAGGCCATCAAATTTTAGTGAAAATCATCAAAATCGCTGGCGGTGGCTGGCAACTTTTTTCTAAAATGCTGGCGGGAAAAGAGTTAATTAGAAGGTAGAAGCCTAAGTAGACAGTGTTCTTATCTTTTTGTCAGTTTGCCTTGCTTTCTTCACCTCTTCTCATCTCTAATCTCATCCTACACTTCCAGAGTTCGCGCTGTGACCTCAAACTCTGGGCGCAGGAACTCGTTAGCACTGCAGAGCGCCAGAGAGGATGATCTCACCGCAGCCCATGCCCGTTTGATCAGACGCGTTTAATTGGCCGCTACCCTGCAGGACGAGCCGCGTTTGTTCTGCCGCTCCTCGCATGGTTTTAATTGGACTGCTCTGACCCCGGGGCTCGCCGCCGAACCCCTTTTATTAGCCATTTTTTCAATCACAGCTTTCGCTCCGCCATTTCCAAATTCGTCCCTGTCTCGTTTGTCCCACTCAAGCACAGTTTGAGGAGTCTTCATGTCACTTTTCTCTCTCGGCGTCTAGTTTGAAGTGTCGTTGCTCAGCACTTTGTGGATCCACACAGCCGAGTTCGATACATGACTCATCCATTCTGAAATCTCATCGTCTCGCAGGTTTCTGAGGCTCTCAGATTAGATCCGGGCTGCTGTGCAGAAATCAGCTCAGTCTATAGCATCATCTCACTCCTCTGTCAACCTTGTCATCCATCTCTGTTCTTTTTCCCACAGCTCTTTCTGCCTTTTTGCAAGTTTCTCCCCCATTTTCCACTGAGATTTAAATACATTAATTTTAATAATAATAATATAATTTATTATAATGAATTAAATTAATATATTAAATAATAGAGAGTGTGTGTGTGTGTATAGAGGACATGTATACATAATTTGAAAATATTCTAAATATTTAAATTTATTTTTATATAGAATGCATTCAGTTTATTGAATTTGTTTAATAATAATAATATAAAAGTATAAATTAATTTAATAATAATTAGTGCTGTCAAATTGATTATTCGCGATTATTTGCATAAAAAAGTTTGTTTAATATAATATATGTATGTACTGTGTATATTTGTATGTATATATAAATACACACACATACATGTGTGTGTGTGTGTATGAAATGTATAGAAAAAAATTATTTACACTTTACAATAATAAAATGCAATAGGTGTCATGAACAATACATCTACAAACAATAATAATAATTTCTACATTTCAAGTTGTATATATTAACTTTAGTTTGTGCATTATGAACAAACATGAATGGACGTAGATTAATAAACGCTGTAAAAAATATTGTTTATTGTTAGATCATGATACCTAATGCATTGACTAATTAACAAATAGTTCAATTGAATCTTTCTGTAAAGCAGTTTATAGTAACTTCTAATCGTAAAGCAGCTTGAAATGGCGTAACGCTGCTCAATCAATTCTCTTTGGATATTGAATTAAAGCTTTTAAGCTGATAAGACTCATTAACATAGTATTTGTGGTCCGGTTGTGAGTGTTTGCCGGTTTCCGCAGCTACATTTCGGTGGAAGAGGGTTCCACATCTCTCCACATACCTGATAAACCACAGCATTGGATGCCCGGCCCAGGGGGATTGTGGGTATTATCCTCAGTGT